ACAATATTTCACTTGAATAATACATAAAACTTCTAATTAAAATGTAAAATGTCAAACAATTTGACAAAAGAAGATATTGTTGTATAAATTACTTGCCACACTAGATTTAATATTCTAAATTATTAAAAATTCATGTATAGTTACTAAAGTTTTTGAGAGCATTTAATTTATAGTTTGAAAAGAAATAAAAATAAGTCTTGATTCTAAATTTAAGATCAATATAAGTCCAACGACCTGTCCTGGGTGTTTTCAAGTAATAATACCGTAGATATTAAAAAACTCGGACAGGTAGATTTTAGTTTGGAGAGGATATCCTTCAATCATATCAACTGTTTTGAACCTTTTGATTCTAATAAAAATAATTCAATTAATGCTGATTTCCAATTAATTTATTGGTATTTAATTTAAGTATAAATCTATCTTAAATAACTTCAGCCCTATTTTGTAGCAAAACCAAACATAATGAAATCGAAAATTCGTTAAGGTTGGAGTTGAATGGTGTTGATATACATTTATTTTCGACCAAATGCTGACGTGGAATCAACATCTCAAAAAAAATATGTGGAAAAAACTGGGGTCTAAGCCCCAATAAGACCATATGATTATTCACAAGGGTGATAAGCCCTATGATTACCTATGGCGCAGTGGCGTGGGGAACCAAAACGGCGCTGGCAAGTGCAATAGGCCAACTCATTGGCATTCAGCGGCTCACCTATCTGAGTGCCACTGGGGCCACGCGCCCTACGCCAACTGCAGCAATGGAGGCACTATTAAACCTCACGCCACTGCACATCTTCATGCGAGGAGAAACCAGGACAGCTATTCACAGGCTAATGCAGGGTCAAAACACAATAAGCCAACTACATAGCGCCAACCACACAAGGCTATATCAGCAAGTAAAAAGGGATAAGATTCTAGGCATGCCTACTGATATAGCCATAACCACATAGAAATTTGAAAGAAGCTTTCAAATTCAAATAGCAGCCCGAGAATCCTGGAAACGGGACCTCCCGTACAGGCTAAACTCGTCTGGTACACAGACGGTTCAAAAACCAAGGAAGAAGCCGGTGCTGGAATCTATGGACGAAAACAACGATTTCGCTGAGTCTAGGAGAATATGCAACAGTTTTCCAGACTGAACTAATAGCTATACAACACTGTGCAAGAGAAATAGTAAATCAGCAAGTATCAGGCAAAACCACTGCCATCTACTCTGATAGCCAAGCAGCTCTAAAGGCAATTCTCTCATCAGAAATCAAATCACGACTGGTATAAGATTGCTTAGAAGACTTGGCAAAGCCAAGTACTCAAACAAGGTGACTAGCCTGGGTATCAGGCCATGAGGGATATCAGGGCAAAAAAGGCCGACCGATTAGCCCGATAAGGCTCAGTACCCGAGCCCTTTCGTGGAGTTGCTAAGGAATTGTGCAAGGCATCCATCAAACAATGGATGCAGAAAGAGTCTCAGGAATGGTGGAACAACTATCCAAGACTGAGACAGGCCAAACAGTTCATCAAGGAACCATCGACCAAGTTAACGAAAGACCTACTGGATCAAAAACGTCAAATCAGTAGGATAACAGTAGGTCTTCTTACTGGACACTGTCGCCTTATAAGGCACATAAGTGTCATCAATCCAGTAGAAGAAGCATCTTTGTGCAGGTTCTGTGAAGAAGAAGAAGAAGAAGAAGAGGAAACCAATCCACCTGTGTCAGTGTGAACGCTTGGCTTTAAAGAGGTTTCTAAAATTAGGCGAAGAAAAGCCAAACGTTTGCAACTACATGCGGGAGCCACTGTTAAAGTTACTAAGTCTAATAGAAAAGACTCTAAAAAAAACGGAATCCCACAATAAATATGAAAAGGTCGCGGTGGACAAGGATAAATAATGTCCAACTCCTTGTAAATCTTACAATCTTACATTTATTTTCAGATGCTAAAAATATAGCCTTAATTATTAATCAAAACAGGTTCAAAAATCATATAAAAACAATTCTTCAAAAGTATTATGTAAATATGCGGATATAAACATACCTTGAACTTTAAAATGTAAAAAAAGCTTTGTGAATTTCTTTTATTATCCATAACGAATTATGATACTCTGATTTACTTTCAATTTCAGGAAAAAGGATATCAAAACCAACTTCATCCCTTCAACGTGTTCAAAACAATTATTTATTTAGCATCTGAAAATAAATGTAAGATTTTAAGATTTACAAGGAGTTGGACATTATTTATCCTTGTCCACCGCGACCTTTTTATATTTATTGTGGGATTCCGTTTTTTTTTAGAGTATGTGGTCTAGCTTGGTCTTTTCTATAAGACTTAGTAACTTTAACAGTGGCTCCCGCATGTAGTTGCAAGCGTTTGGCTTTTCTTCGCGTCAGTTTACTCAGCTTGAGTGGATTAAAATTAAAAACTCATAAGCCTGTTTATTTGTTTAATAAAATTCTAACCTTTTCATATAACGTATTCAAATTGTATAATCTTTTAATTTTGTAAATTGTCCGTTAGCCTTTTTTTATTTATTTATGCTGTTAATAATGTTTTTAATGTTCATAAAATTTTGTATTTTTCTCTTCGTATTCGCTATTATATGCTAACCAAAAGGTTAAGAGGCAATGAGTAACTCTAAGCTATTCTTCGCCTTCTAGGTTTAAATGTATAGTATATTTGACAAATGAAGACATTTTAATATTATCCATATTAACTGTTACATTCCCCTCTCCTCCGTCCCTTTAAAAAATATAATTTAAATAGGGAAAGTACCTTTGATTACTATACGGGGCAAGAGAGAGGTCCGACACGCCCAACATAGGGCGCGGCCATTTTGAACCCTATGACACAGTTTATAGCTAAAGAATCAGATCGCTCACTCTGCGTCGATACTTTTTATATCAATGTTCCAGTTTATACACTGCGCAACTCAGATAATACAATATATGACAACCGCCTATAATAAAACAGCAGTCTTCTGCGTATCCTGAATTTGTATCCCTGGAGTGGATGTTATTTTGGAACCTTGAACTGGTCCGAGTGAGCTAACTGATTCTTTAGCAATAAACTGTGACTCCAAAAATAATATTCACTGACACTGACAGCAGCAAGCAAAATATCAGGTGCGTTTTAATCAATCGATTCTGCTTCCGGAATTGTCGGTTTAGTCGTTTTAACATGTCAGATTAAAATAAGAAAACCGACAATTCCGAAGCAGAAGCGGATGATTAAAACGCACCTATTAAAAATATTGCGCCAAGATGTAGGCAACACGTAATAAGGGTTCAAAATGGCGGAGTTTTCTATCTCCTTTTAAAAGGCACTCAGAAAGCTGCGCAGTGCGACCATTCTCCGTATAGTAAAAGAAAATCAAAGTATGTGACCAAGTATAACATATAATTTTAAAGTTAATTTCATTATTTTTAATTTTAGCGCCCTCTAGTGGGATAAAACATTGTTACGTATTGTAAAGTGTGATGTACAACATAAAACGTAATTGAACGAAACATGAACTTAAATATATGAAAAAGCTTGCAGAACTCTAACGTTAAGAAATAAAAACTTTAATTGCAATCAACTAAAATAACAAATTTATACTACGCAATAAATTACTAATAAAATAAGCTTTTAAGTAAAGTATCACACTTTAGAATACGTAACAGTTTTTATCCCGCTAGAGGACACTAGAATCAAAAGTAACGCATAAAGTAAGTCATATTGCTGAAATTTCCATAATATTACCTTTTCAATTACTTGGTAACAGTGTCGGATTGGGACCTCCAGATCCCATATTTTTCACGGGCCGATTCATTGAAGAGCAAAAAAGGACCTCTCATCTTCGCATTTGATTTCTTTGTTATTTTCAAGGTCCCGCTACCTCAGCGAGGGCCGACTGCCTGAGCGAGGACCCACTGCTTGAACGAGGGCCCACCGATTTTTTTGACCGGTTGACCGACCGCGACGGCCCAATCCGACACTGCTTGGTACTTTCTCTACTTAAATTGTATTTGTTAAAGGAACGGAAGGGAGAGGAATGACATACTGTTGAGGATATTATAGAAGGATGTCTCCGTCCAAACTAAAATCGACCTGTTTGAGCGGTTTTTAACATCTACGATATTAATACTCAAAATCCCCATGTCAAGTTTCGTTGGAACACCTTGTATATCTTAAGTGTATCGTTAGAAGAGGTACCTCCTATTAAAAACTAGTATTTTGATCCCTATATCTTTCCAAAACCAGTAGATTTAGATTTAAAGATTTTATTAATTTATAATTATTTAGATATAAAATTTTGATTATTAAAATATTTTGATTTAGGGTAATTCCTAAGACTACTTTGGATCATTTATGTATGTATAAAAGGCTTATGACCGTCAGATAGATACTGATTTAGGTGCAACATTTTCGCAAACAAGCCTCGAAGAAGGTTGAAAAGTACATGGATGATGAGTAGAATGAAAGGAAATTTACGAGTGGCTCTTGGGGATAACACATGGAAAATACACTTATCCATTCGGGTCATTCAAGTCAATATGCTTTTCGAACTAGTGCGATGTACGCTTTTATACATTCGATGGGCTTGTGAGCAAAAATTAGTTAAAATCTCGATTTTTCCTTACAAGATTACGCACTTATTTCAACACTTTAGTCACTTCTAACATTAAAGCCTTTGGTTTTTCGTAGCCTAGTTCTATTAGTTAATCATTTAGTGAACACGGCTTTTGCGTGAAAATATGGACAACAAATACCTTTTAATTTCTGTTAAGGAAAATTGAATTTTTCATATGTTATTTTCAGGAGCCACTCGTACATTTCCTTTCATTCTACTCAAAATCGATGTACTTTTCAACCCTACCCTCTTCGAGGCTTGTGTGCGAAAATGGGACAACTAAACCGGTCACTATCTGACGGTCTATTAGTACATTTCTGTTTTTAGTAACTTTTATATTTTTTATAAAACATCTCTTTTCAAAAATGCTGACAAATAATAAAAAAATTCTTACCTGTATTTGCTTCTAAAATTTCTGGTTTGTCCAATAACGAGTTTATGGAGTGTTTTTGAAGGATTTCCGCATATCCATGATTAGGACCATAATTTTTTTTCGGAGAATGAAAAATCTGAAAAATAAACATACACATTTCATTTCTTAAACTGGAAACTGTTTCTAGAATTAATGGTTCAGCAATGCATTAAAGAATATGTGGGCAATCTTACGGATTCGGATAGAACACATAAAAATAATAATAAAGCGATAAGTCTCTATAAATTGTTTTCATACGGCCTCTCTACAGAGATACACGGGCTTGTAACACGCCCTTGGATAGTTTTTTTTTAATTTTTTAATTTTTACAGTTCGTTCAAAGACAATTTTTTTTTCAACAATTAAATATCAGTTTTATCAATATATCTGTACAGATTAGGAAAAAAGTATACGATCCATACGGTGTAGGTTAGATTAGGTTAGCCCATCTCTATTAATTGCAGGCCAATATTCGTAACAAGTATGTACATAAATATACTCGTCATAATAAGTATAGCATATAGACTCCATCTCAAGGAGATATAAAGTGATAGAAATACTCCAAGTCCTCCGACAAAAGAGTATTGCATTTTTAGTTACAGTTTGCATGTGTCTTCTTATTTCAGTTGCGCTTTGTTGTTGCTTAGCAGCGTAAACTTTATTAAGGTGCGTTTACACAAATACAAGAAGTCACTCTAAATAAATTAAGACTACTTTTACATTTTGTCTTCAAATACTAGAACAATTTACTTTCGTACTTTATGAATAAATTTTCCAGATGAACATTGTTTTAAAGATAAGCCAAAACAGATGCAAATTCGTGAGACAGATTCTTTAAAAAAATATATACAGTGAGCATCATAAGTCTTACCCCCCCCCCCCCCTAACTAACTCGTTACTGGAGTCTTGTTAGGAAAATCGCTGAGACAAGTCGATTTTTGTTTTCTACAATGTACATTTTTGTATGATTAGTTTACCCTTAATTTCATCCCTTACTGGAGGGGAGCAACGATTTCGAAAAATTTAAATGGCATGGGGTGGTAAGTGATAGCTCATTTGAAAGAGGGTTTTATTCTCTATTCAACCATGTAAAAAAATTTGAAATTTGCTTCATTAATTCTCGACTAATTGTTGTTTCAGAATAACGGAAATTAACGTAGCGCACTCATTCTTGGAATTAAAATTCGGCCCTGCATGATTTCGGTTTTGGTTCAGACGTGAAGTAAGACTTTTTGCCATTAGAAGGTCACTATTAGTTTAGTTGCTTTCCTATTTTGTGAGGTTTTGTTATTTTTAAACATTAATAAATCAACACGTAATAAAGCAAATTTAAATGGCATGGGGTGGTGAGTGATAGCTTATTTGAAAGGGGGTTTTATTCTCTATTCAACCGTGCAAAAAAAATTTAAATTTGCTTCATTACGTGTTGATTTATTAATGTTTAAAAATAACAAAACCTCACAAAATAGGAAAGCAACTAAACTAATAGTGACCTTCTAATGGCAAAAAGTCTTACTTCACGTCTGAACCAAAACCGAAATCATGCAGGGCCGAATTTTAATTCTAAGGATGAGTGCGCTACGTTAATTTCCGTTATTCTGAAACAACAATTAGCCGAGAATTAATGAAGCAGTTCATACAAAAATGTACACTGTAGAAATCAAAAATCGACGTGTCTCGGCGATTTTCCTAACAAGACTCCAGTAACGAGTTAGATAGGGGGGGGGGTAAGACTTATGGCGCTCACGGTATATATTACAACAAGAGGCATGGAAAATATTTATTGGATAACTCATACACATTTTTTTAATCAATATCATTTTCTTCACAACTTGACTCTGATTCAGACTCATCACTACTTGCCGCTGAACCTAAATTAATAATAATTGGTTCTAGATCAGAAACATCTAATTGCTTGTATTTTTCCCAATCGGAAACAATTATGCTTTTAGTGTGTCTTACATAACTGTCCCACTGAGTATCGGTAACACTATTTAAAGCTTCTGACCAAGTCTGAAATACATCTTCTGGTGACGACTTTGTTAAAAATTTTTCGTCATAAAACCGTTTGCACTGTGACCACACCATCTTTATCGCATTGTACTGGCAGTGATATGGAGCAGTTCTTAATATTTTATGCCCATATTCCTAAACATATCTATCTAGGTGGAATTCTTTTCGTAGTAGATTTTGACGTACAACTTCGCAAATCTGATATTTAATATCATTGATTGGATAATTAATGTTCTTTTCCTGCAACTATTTTACCATTTTATCTTTTGTCCAACAATAACATGGAATTGGTTCCACGTACCGCGAATGATAACTAGCATTATCGATTTATTTTGTCTTAAACCATTTTTCAAAATTTTCTGTGTTTATATTATTATGTTAAACCCGCTTTTTGTTTGACTTTTAAATATGAGGTCTGCATTTTTTATAAACCCTTCTTCATTGCCATCATGGACAATTATGTATCGAATTCCATATCCTGTTTACTTGCAGTAGCCATCGTTCCATCTTGCCAACTTTTTCTGTCACTTCCGTTGCTATACATATACCCACGTCCCATCCATAAATACAGGAAAGAACAATACAGAAAAGAAAGATGGTCGGAACTTTGAAGTTGAAGGGATAGAAATATTTGACCTTGAGTTCCACCACAGAGATACTCTGAGAAAACGTAATTAGTCACAGTACACGCGAACGTAGCTATTCACTGAACCTACACTGCGAAAACTACATTTCTCTTTTAAATAATTAAGTGTCATATTTTATGAAAAATTGCATGAATGCATTTGAAACTATTCTCGATTTAAGTAAATTATTTTTTGATTTGTAGCACTTCCGACAGAGGTTTCAAAAATAAAAATTATAAAGTTTTAAAGAATAGTTTATTTTACCCTGTCACAATGAACTATTAATGTGCCACAAATCTCACTAGTCATTTATGATCCATAAATATAAATCAATTGGGATAATTGTTAAAAAATCATTTGCTGAAGTGTATTTTAGGGATTTTATGAATAAAAAAAAAAGAAAAATAAAAAAACGTGTATTTATGCAATTAATAAGTTTACAATCTAAAGCATGTATTTTATTAAAATAGAATTGTTTAAAAATTAAAATAATTAAAATTGTTTACACAGATTTATAGAGCAAGCCTAATTTATAATACATAGATAAGTAGCTTTATTAAAATAGCTATATGCTAATATACAACAAAAATATAGAATACTTATAAAAACGGTAGGTACTTATAAAAAATATTAAATAATGAGTAATTATTTTTCTTCTTTTTGCACCAAACAAACGTTTTCTCAACGTTGCTATCTTCAGTCGCAGTCTCTGCTTTCTTGGAGTGTTTGATGATAACAAATTACTCGTTTGAATTTGTTCAACACCCTTTCCACATAAGTTCTCTCTATTTGCTGCCTTAAGCCACAATTCAAGTCTAAAAAATACATACAATCATTGTACTACCATGTCGGCAAGGTCAATTCCTATTTCACTCTCAAGGTTTCATACCTACCTCACTGGATCTTTCACAAGAGTGAACAAAATCCTTCTTTGCCACCTGTTCTTGAGGTACATTCACGATAAATACAAGTATATCCTCCTCCTTTTTGACGCGGCATTGTTTATAAACCTAATCTTAATACGTACAATAAAGTCTTAAATTAACAACTCCACAATTAAAAACATCAACAAAAACTAAAAATAAACAACTAAAAAAAACGTAAAAGTTATCAGAATATTCTCTAAAAACAACCAAAAATCCAAAACGACAAATAAAGACACGACAGGAAAAAAATATTGATTTTCTAACAGCGACAGCAGTGACTGCTTCCTTCATCTGCTATAAAAGTGTGCACTGTTGCACTTCGAACAAGTAACAAATCTACGGTTCAATTATGATAATGCTCCACCATGAAGAAGGTGTGGCTTCGGATGCTAGGTTCCTGTTTTAGCCCTATGTTTCTTTTCTGTATTATACAGGCTTAAAGTTAACATTTTTCAAAAATGACATTTTTTAACTGAATCGATGTTCGTTCCAATAAAAACTGTCTGTTGTTACTTTTTTTGAAGCGAAAGATAATTTTTCGAATCTATGTATTAAGGAGGTCCTTTCGCCACCAATGTTAAATAAAAAATATTAGATTATGACTAAAATTATTTTTTTTCTAATAGTAGATGTCCTTATTTATCTAATAGTGAACTTAACTATACCTTACCGTGCAAATTTTTGAGAATTTTTTTTTTTAAAAATGTGTGTGTTTGTACAGTGTCTTATGAGAGAATTTTCGAATTATAATTACTTTTACTATTATTTATTGATTAGATGGAGTAGAAAAAAACTAAAAATAAGGTTTTTAAATATTTAGGTTTTGTTTTTTACAATAAAATATATAGGTTACCGTGGAATTTATTGAGAAATTATTATTAAAAAATCACAAAAATCACTAGGTTACTTGAAATTTTTTTGTGATTTTTTAATATTAATTTCTTAATAAGTTCCACGGTTTACTATATATATTTTATTGTATAAAACAAAATCTAAATATTTCAAAAACCTTATTTTTAGTTTTTTTCTACTCCATCTAATCAATAAATAATAGTATAATTCGTGAATTGTTGTTGAGGACTTACTTTCTCGTTAGGCACTGTACAAATACAAAATTCTCAAAAATTTGCAAGGTAAGGTATAGTTAAAAGTTCAGTATTAGATAAATAAGGACTTCAACTATTAGAAAAAAATTAATTTTAGTCATAATCTAATAACTTTTTTTTTAACATTTGAGGCGAGAGGTGTGGCGAAAGGACCTCGTTTATATAACGATTTCATTGTTACATGTTGCGCACCTTCATACATCTTATTTGCCTCAACTTAATATTAAGAAACTAATTTTTGTTTTATTTTAGCTTACTTTATTATTTTCACATACTCTGTATCAGAATTTGTTGGTTTACTAAGTCTATAGAAAGTTTTCTACGAAATATTTAATGCCTATACAGCCAATTGATTGTAAAGAGTCTCGCAAATAGATTTGTGTCTCTTATAATTGGAAACATATGTTTATGATTAAAATTTTTGAT